TTTTTTTTTTTTTTTTTTTTTTTTTTTCTTATTCTTATGGAGTTTTACGAAGCAAATTACTTCTACAATCCCATACAAAATGTAATGGAGGTCGACGCTTACGCTAGATCACGTATTTTCAATCACCCTAATCAATGTTGGAAAATGTCGCGGAGGTTCGTTTCTTCCAACTCAAGGGGAAAACAAATTATTTTCAACTTTGCAAGGGAGAAAGAGGACAACTTGCTTGGCGTCCTAATGTGTCTATCTGGCAATGTAATTTACTTGTTGTCCCGTTTCTATTTTCCTTTGGGCAAGATATCTAACCTTGCAGGTAAATAAGAGGGGTATTTTCACAGAATTTTAGAAGTCATTATCAACAGCTTGTTAGTTTACGCAGAACCAGGAAACAACTTTCGCTAGCGGCTGTTTTATCGATTAAAACACAACTTACAAATGAACGTCGTGCATGTAACACGTTACAGAGTTTTGAGCATTCAAAAAATCGCTGCCCTGGCCTGTATTTTGCCAAAACGTAAAAGCTGTAAGCACATCAAAGCTATAGAACATTAAGGAAGATTTTGGTTTACGCCGTACGAACACTCGATTTAGCGCGGATTTCGAGTATAGTAAACCAAAACCAAAGTAATCACTCTGGCCAATAACAAAGCGCACATTCAATCCATTGAACCAATCAAAGCTACTGGCAAATACATGTAGCTAACAGAAAGCGCGGGAAAACGCGTGTGAGCAAGCCATGATTGGTTTTGGTTTTGCTTCTGATTGGATGACAAAGTGGCAAGGGTTTTTCAAGCCAATCGAAAAATAACACACAAAAAAATAATAATTTGAAGAAGTATATTTATTACTGGGTTTACTTTACAAATCTATTCATTTGTTTGTTCATTTATCATCAAGGCAAATTATGAAAACGATTTGCATCAACAATTTAATTTAAGTATGCATTGTTGAAAGACATGTTAAAATTAATCTTGCGTTAAAAATAAAACATGAGATATTTGTTCCTGGTGTATAGAAATGTTTAAGGTCAGTCTATCTTTTCATCATTTTTCCTCGACATTGAGGTCCATGTCGTCGGCTTCGCCGTAAAAACCGTTTGCTTCAGGGCTGCAGATCATCTCAGCTCGTGCACAATACTCCCTCTTCTTTAACCCAATCTGAAATGTTGAAAGAGGGCACAGAGATAATTTCTTTTAACAGAAACCTTGCCCCAATGTGTAACTCAATTGAAACCGCACCAATGAACAATCTCTCCGTATAGTGGAGATCTCCCCACAACGGCCAGAACGTTTTCTCCCGGTCAAATGACGAACTGCTTGTCGTGACTGTTTCACGCGTAGAGAATCATGCAGAGAGTTTAAGAAAAGCACGACGGCAACGGCAACGGGAACGTCGCTAAACAAAAGTTTTAATGAGCTGAGAACATTGACAGTGTAAGTGCGTTATAATTCTTGGGACATTTCTTTGCCGTCCTGAAATGACCAAATTCTGCATTGTCTGGAGCACGTGAACCACGACGGCTGATTTTTTAAATTTTTATTTGCAATTTATTGCTGTGTCCCAGATTCAGTTTCGTGATAGTTTTCACAAAGTAAATGATTTAAGAGTACCGCGAGATTCGCAGGCAAAATATAATGTAAAAACATTTTTAATCGATGTTCTCCTCGGCGTGGTTTCTAACCAAACTCCCTTTTATGAATTAGATACTGCGAAAATGACAGCAGAAAATCTTAGGCACGTAAACTCGTTCACATATTGTTTTATAAAAAATGCAAATAGGATTATAGACAAAAAATTAGATATGAACTTAATACTTTTTTAAACTTAAAATTGGTCCAGTGTGCTAAGTTATAACAGGCAAAAGCCAGAAGATGGCTAACAACGAGACACAACTCAATTCTGATTCCCAAAACAAAACCAACTATGAGGTGACTGCTACAATCGCTACCCTCCTGGGTGGGAAGGTAGTCCGGTGCAACTAGACTCCCCTCCCCTTCCCTCCCCGCCCCGACAGCATTTACGGTGCCACTTTTCCCCAAGAGTTCGGTGACTTCAGGGGAGTAAATTGTCTTGCCCAAAAACCCCGATCACCCCAGACCAAAAATTATACCACTTTGATTTCCTTCAGATTAGAGATAGGAATGTTTTCATTCACACTCAGAGCACGATCATGTAATACGTTATTTCTTAAGCGAACGGAAACTATGGCAACGTCCACACTAAGGCCGGTGAAATTTGAAAACGGAGCTTTTTTTTTTCACGGTACTACCGTCCACGGGAGGCCCGGTGGCCTCATGGCTAGGGCGCTCGTCTCCGGATCGAGCGGTCCAGGTTCAAGCCCTGGCCGGGGACATTGTGTTGTGTACTTTGCTTGGGCAAGACACTTTACTCTCACAGTGCCTCTCTCTACCCAAGTGTATAAATGGGTACCGGTGAACTTAATGCTGGGGGTAACCCTGCGATGGGGGAGTAGAAATACTCCTAGTCGCTTCATACTACGGAAACTGGGTTAAACTCCGGCCTGGTGGGCCACTTGGTTCGTATACCTACTTACTACCGTCTACACTAATCTGTCACGAAAACGGAAAAATGTGAAAACGCTGGCTTTTCGTTTTAACGTGTGAGCAGAAAGCATTTTGAAAACGGAGCTTTTCGAAAACGATGGCCGCGTCACGATAATCATGTGATTTCCCTGAGCGAGTCTTCCTCAAACATAAATCCATACTGACCGGTGATTGTAGGGTTTTTAAATTCCTCCGGCGTAGTGTGGACGGAAAACATTTGATGCGTTCTCAGAAAGAAAGCTCCGTTTTTTATTCGGCGTGTGGAAGGGGCCTAACCCAAATGCGACCTCCATAAACAAACCTGAGAATTTCGTTTCCCCCAGCGCCGTTGCCGTTGCTGCGCTTGTGCCGACGCCGCCGCGTCAACCACTGAGGCAACAAGCAACGCCACAAAAACGAAACAAATCAGTTTTCGGTCCATTTTCTTTGATTCTGTGGGGATCTGAAAAACAAAGCGTGTAAGCATTGACATCACAATCTATCATATGGGAATCTTTATAACTGACTTGTGACTTACAACTTTTTTTGTGCGAAGGAGAACAAAGGTGCACTTGTGCCTGCCAACACCGCTCGTTCCTGAAACCTTGTGTCTCAGGCCGTTAGAATTTCCTTATTTATATTTGGTCTACAAAGAAAAGAGGAATAATCATAGGTCAATCAGTCACCCTCAAAAGCGTTTAGAAAGTGCCAAGTAAAATATCCCCGCCAATTATCATTATGTTCATTCGTACGTGTACTAATTGTTATTGAACGACGAGGAAAGCAAATAAAGAACAAAGCCAAATAAACTGTCAACATTTACTCCACGCTGAACTTGGAGGTCAAACAGATTTATTAGTCAACGCCGATTTTCAAAGAAGCGCGGGCAAAACTTGAAACTAAAATACGATAAAACTGCGTATATGACTCGGTAACATTTAGAATGCTTAATTCCACAATTTTTGGACTCCTAAAGTGAGTAATGAATTGTTGGGCCTACTATGGCCAATGTTGGAAAGCAGAAGGCCCGCCGAGAGCTTTTTTTGTTTGAAACAAGCGTGCCCGCTCAACCTGACATGATGGTTTGCAAGTAAACATCTTTGAAACGTCAGGGCGTTTTTTACTACGCCGAGTTTCAAGATTATTCTGGCTCAATCCGTCAACAAATCGAAATGAATTCTGCACTCGTAAAGGACGTGATTTCTCTTTCGTGCAGATGATTTTCGCGTTTTAAATGAACCAATTGTAAATTTGTTAATGAATAACTTCAACTTGAATGAATTGTGATGGAAATGAAAATAATGGGAGTGCGACGCACCAGCAAGCGTTTTTCCCGTAATTTGTTTTCAGCTGGAGAACAACTTCAAATCTCTTTACAAGTCATAACAACAAGGGACCCAGCTTCCACGAAATCCAGACTTCCTTAGCGAAACGTTTGGCCAAGTTAACGTTTCAAGTTTCATTTTATTCAGAAGTAATTAGAGGACTTAAAATGAGTTTCTTGTGAGTGAGCTTTTGTCCAAGCGGCTTTCTTGGTTGACTCATGATAAACCAAGTATTGTTGAAAGGTCGCAGTTGTCCTGATAAAGGTCGCATTGAAATCAAGGAAAACAACAACAAAACAGCGGTAAAATAGTGGAATATTCATCAAGGGGATTTTCAATGGATTTGCTGCAATCCATTCAGTTCTTTGAGTTTTTTGTGGACATGTACATGGGCGCAGGGAATTCAATTGAGTCGCCTCAACGCCTCTTAGTCTCTTTGATAAAACTGGAATTGCTTTTGGGAAAATTAGCATTCTAATACTATAGGTGATTAACTTCACCACCACTTCAGTTCCGCCGACTGAAGTGAATCTCAGGACCTGAACAATTTTCTTCTCATCAGATGATGTTCAAGTCTAGTCTGGCATCAACCCAAAATGTTTTCCCGTTGTAAATAGTTAACACAGTTTTATTAAATGAGATGACTTTTACTAATGCAAATGATCGATTGACTGATTCATTGACTGCAAAAAAAAAGAAAATACATTTCTCTTTCTACAATAGATCAAGGTTTTAATATGGTCACACAAGAATTGCGCACGTTCGAGGTGTTGTCCGCATTTCCATATTTTCGTTATATTTCGAAGACAGAATTATCCAGATTAAGAAACGGATACCTCAAACGGCTTACTTTTTTAACTCCTTTTTTTCCCTTTACGATTCTTGTGTCGCAGTTGCAGGTGCTTACTTCGTCAGATTTCCTTTTAATGAATCCAGAAAGAAAACCATACAATATGATCACGTATTACCGCTAAGTGTAAAACTACCGGCGTCAGACAATAATTTTTGGCTAAAATCCTTCCTGTTAAAAGCGGTTTGCATCATATTTGTAAACGAGCTTGAGTTGGCGCAATTACAACTCAATTCTTGCCTTTTGTGTTGATTTTCCACCTGCCCCTAACGATTTCCAATTTAAGGTATAGTGATTGCGGATACGAAAATGAAGCACGGAGAAAAGCGAAACTGAGAAATAACTTCTTGACTGACTTTTTCGTGATTCCAGGAAGTAGTAAACAAAGCTAACTACCTGTAGCCTGGATATGACATGAAGGAAAGACAAGGTTTTAAAAGCAGTCGAAGTGTTGCAATCTACCTCAGAAGAGTGGTAAAATTTCTTTGCGGTCTTTTTGGCTTTGATGGTCAAATCCAAGAGTATTCTTACGAGGACTGAAATAAACGCATTTTAAAAAAGGCATCCTCGTCGCCTTGTTTCCTAAGACTAAACAAATCCCATACAACGTGTCATTATTATTAATTTTTGAAGGAGTTGGAGGTTAAACTTGAATCAGACGGGGGAAAAAAACGATAACAGTTTTCAGTTAAAACGAGACCAACATCCTCTCTCGACGAAGCATACATATAGTACGCTGATTCAGAAAGTCAATCACAAATTATAATATCATTTATCAGCAACGCGTATTTGATATTTCTGTAGAAATTAGAGGGATAAACGATTCCAGCAACGAAGGCCAAGTTCTTTTGAGTGTGCCTAGCCTTAAATTTTTTGCGTGAAAAGTCGGATTTTGCGATAAGAAATAGCACAACATTTTTATTTTTGCTTACACAAGGAGTCTGATTTGAATTCGAATTTTGCGTGCAATTTTAGCCATTTTCTGCAAAGAATCTCTTGAAATAGCCTGAATGTTAGCCGCCTCTTCGAGTCACACACGCCAGAAAAGAAGTTGTCTTCTCAAATCACTGTGCGCCCATGCTAAGGTAAATAACTCGGTTTAAAATACTACATATAAATGGAGCAGTAGGTAAGCAAGGTGGGGAGCTAAAACTTGGAATAGAAAACGGAAATTTACATCAAAAAGGGAAGACTTGTATAGGGAAAATTTAGCGGGATAGGAAGAAAACTATAATTCTTAAGAAAGAAATGAACAATAGACAAAGCACAATTTCATAGTTTTGAAGGTGAACTTGAAATTATCCTAGAGGCGCAAAACTGGTCAGTGTTTTTCCACGCTAAATGAAAGGTTATCTTTGCGCACACAATTTATACTGCTCGCGTCGCAATTCAGAAATTCAGTGAGTGGAATAGACAAAACGACATTAAGTGAAGTGAATAATTTGAAAAGGGCACGAACGGTAAGAAATCGATATTCAGTTGTCAGTAGGCCTTTGAGTGTTTACATAAATCAAGAACAGACATAAGACTGGGCTCCCATTTTGAAACCGCGTCAGAGGTACTTTCACCGTCCGGTCATGAAAATTACACAAAGAATGTAAACTTCATTACTGGTATTTTCTGGCAGTGTAGCATCGCGAAACGGGCGCGCAGAAATAGTCATTTTGACGTCATGGACCAGAGGACTGGGTCCGCGTAAGGGGGATTATGGGTAGGTTTCTAGGATATGTTTTTATCACTTAATGACTGGTCCCTTGGGGAACAGTGAATTTTGTTTCCCGAGAATATCAATGTTTCCCGAGACGAAGACGAGGGAAACATTGAGATTCGAGGGAAACAAAATTCACTGTTCGCCAAGGGACCAGTCATTAAGTGATTTGTTATATAGTAAAACAAATGGGTCAAACCGGCGGAAAACAAACAATCGCTTTATTGACAAATGACGTGCAACAGCGGTCAACATTTCGCGGGTAACAGTGAACTGTTTCCCGTTTGACGTCATAGTTTTCGCAATGTTGCCGCTCATGGCATTTGGCGGGAAACAGTTTCATTGTTAGATGTCATGTGCCCATGAACTAGCCAATGAATGGGCGCGCTGTAGTGGGAAAAAACGCCAGCTACATAACAAAGTGTAATATTCTACCCTGGGTATTGTTAATCATAGCATGGTACATGTAATACGTTATAGTGAATCGCTCTAGCCTGGCACAAGCCTAAGACCAGGCGAAAATAGAAACGGACAGCCAGGCAAGCCCGACTTATTCGTTAGGTGTGAGGATGGGTCGCTAGCCTCTTCGCTTTCGCCGCCTCGAGTGGAGTGATAGGGTGGAACAAGTGTAAATTCTTTTATACTGTCATTTGCATAATCCCCAGGGTATGATTACCAATGCAAATTGAGTTTGCGTAGTTGTCTCTTACAAATCTGTCAGTCAGTCCCTCATTTTCTCTTGGTCTAGGTCAGGACTTGACTTGAGCACCAAAATTTTAAATTGTGGATTTTGGGATATTTACATTTCGGAACTCTTTCCCTCAATGAGATGTGCCTGCAGGGAATCATTGTAGTGTATTCATCATCTTGAACTGGATATTTGTTTTGATGAATACAACTACCATGATTCCCTGCGGGCGAGTCTCATAGAGGGAATTGGCCATTGACGCTACGGCAGCTGCTTTCAGCGTGTGGAGTAGTCCAGTCCCTGAACTCATCCAGGGCGCTCCATATAGGGGTTGAACTCAGGCGGGAGAAGTAAGAGTCCAGGATAACTTGCTTGCATATGCTCAGAACGCCGCTTTTTTTTTCCCCCAAATCGGGAGCCGGATAAACCTGTGGAAGTGCGCGCGGGCCTATCAGCATGTCTTAATTACAGAAGGAACACCAAAACAACCTTCGGAAAGGTTGCTCTTGCTATGAACTACCGGCCAAAACAGTAATCATTAATTAGCTGACTTGTTTAAATCGTGTAATGAACGATGGGAAACTCGTTACTAAGTTTGCTCTGAGCATGCGCTGGCAAGTTATCTCTCTTTTCTCCCGCCTGGGTTTAATATAGGGTGGGAAAGGGAGAGTTCAGGAAGAAAACTAGGTGAAGGATGAGCGTTCCCTAGCTTTTCCCACAATGTGGTTTTGGGTTCAATCTTTGTTATAAAGTAACTGAGGAGGACATGGGGATTTGCGGGGTTGCGGTGTTAATGTTTTTTTTTAATGCGGTGATGCGGTGAATAAAATCTCAACTTGCGGTGTTCCGGTGATCTCAAACCCTACGGTGTGCGATGCTATGCAGCTTAGCAGATAAAACTGGTACACAGGGATTTTCATAATGATGCCAGGACTGATCTTACCGCCAAAATGCCAAAATGTGCGACCTCATTCTAGTTACTCTATTCGTATAGGTAATCATACAGTTTCGAGTTCAATTTGGAATTAATTTGCACTTGTGAGTTTTTCAAAAAGCTGAAATTTCAGCTTTTTGAAAAACTCAGAAGTGCAAATTAACTCCAAATTGAACGAGAAAAACCGTATGATTACTT